GAGGGCCAGGTGTTGTCCTGCAAGTTCTGAAGGTTTGTGTCTCGATCTTCCTGACTGGGCTAGGATCATAAAAGAGCAAAAAGTATCAGTTTCACTTTATCCCCCACTCTGCACAAATTCTCTCCCTGGTTATCACCTGCTTCATACACACTTCTGGTGATGCACTATTTAAAAATCCAGAGGTGCCATTATGTTTCTGATTTGAATGCTCATTTGGATACACTTCAGATCTGACTTTTCTTTTTAGAAAGATGTATACCCAAACACCCTGTCATTTTGAAGAGACACAGCAGGCAGCTTTGAAAATCAAGTTCTTATTGTCAGTTTGGACAACAAAATGCAGCAGCTCCTTAAGTTTGTAGCTTTACCCTGTCAGTACCACTTCTCTGACCAGCAATATGGGGTCCGTTTACTCCATAGGGCAAGAAGTGCATAAAACTTTTGTAAAGAGATTTATAAAAAGATTTTGATGGGAAGATTCTGTAGAACTTTCAAGTGCTTCATTGCAGAAGTAGCTCAAACAATTCTTTTCTTCTCCTAGTTTTGGTTACCCTGATCCTGGTTATCTGCAGCGAGTTCGATCAGAATTGAAAGCAAAAGGAATTGAATAAAGAAATGGATCAACTGTCAACTCTTAGTGTAATAACTGAACATATAACAGTCAATTTACTATTCAAGCACTAAGAGGAGAGAAATTGCTTTTTTCAACTGCTGTACTTAAATCACTTGTATTTCACACTCAGCTAAGAAAAGTAATCTTTTATCATCAAGCAATATATGTTCTTTTCGCAAATCATTTACTTTTCTATATGTGTAGCCCTTACAGAATCTAGGTTTTGTGAATGTAGTATCAGTACTTGTTGCATCTGTTGAATATCAAATATATCAAATTGTTCATATTGCTTTACCAGTGATTCTGATCTCCACTTTTTCCCACTTCTTCAGTCTGACTGCCAAAACCATTAGAGCCAGTACTGGCTTTTATTAGATACAGTTAACTTCAGTAGAAACACTTAATGTTAGCTTCGTGTTATTATGTCTGTCACCGTGAATAACATCATGTAACCCATCTAATAGAAAATTTTCATGCAGCTGCTACAGTGTCAGCTGTAATCAGGCTATGGACTTCTGCTTATTTTCCTTTTCATGGTAGAAATGTCATTAGTGGTTTGGGGTTTGCACATGGAATTAGCGTGGCTCATGTATGAGTGGGTATATGGATGCTGCTGTATTCTTAGCTCTGCAAAGTGATGAATGCTCAGAGCCACCTTGAGGCAAATGAAAAGTGTATATGGCCATCTCTGATAATGAGCTCCTGGGTCTGTGTCTGCCATTGTGCTTAAGCTTAAATACGCCTTCTAAATCAGCTTTGCAACTATACAACTGTATTCTTCCCATTGATTCCAATATAGGTTTGAATTGTATCATAAAGTTACTCTGCAGTGCCTAAACAACCTGCTAATTACCTGTATGGTGGTGTGTCACAAACACAGTCATCATTTCAGTGAGTTGAACCATTTTTGTAAGGCTACTAAGTACAACTAATAAAGAAAATATAAAAATGCCATCTGTGTGTTTCTGTATTCTTCTGTACACGATTTTTCTCCTTCTTGTGATACATATAGCTGTATATTTTTCTAAAACGTAGGAACTTCCCTGCAACACCATGATTTGGGATGATTTGGACTCCATGCCACCTCCCTTTTTTTTTTTTTTTGAATTCCCACATCGTGAATAGGCAGTACTACTTTACCATCTCAACTTTCGTATTTAGTAGTGTTGGGCACTGTTTGGTTTTCACGTGGTTTGGGATATCCTTACAGCTCTGGTTTTGTGTTCCTGTATTTGTTGTAACATTTTACACTATTCTGTGTTCCCCCCCCTTTTCTGTGCAGTAAAGATAGCAACATTCCAGTTGTTTCTAAGTGCCTGAGCTTTTCTGCACACTGAAACAAGCTGTTGTGCTTTAACCCCAGCCAGCAACTGCGTAACATGCAGCCACTCACCCCCCAACCCTGGTGGGGCAGAGAATCGGAAAGGCAAGGTGAACCTCGTGCATTGAAATAAGAGCAGTTTAATAACTAAACAAAATAAAATATACTAATGCTAATAATTGTAACAGAAAGAGGGGAGGAGGAAATAAAACCCAGGAGAAACAAGTGATGCACACCACAGTTGCTTACCACCTGCTGACCAGCCTGTCACTGAGTAGCAATCACCCCCCCAGCTGACTCCCCCCAATTTCCATACTGAGCATGATGCTCTATGGTGTGGAATATTTGGCCACTTTGTGTCACCTGTCCTGGACATGCTCCTTCCTGGCTTCCTGTTCACCTGCTCGCTGGCAGAGCACAGGAAACTGAAAAGTCCATGACTTGGGGTAAACACTCCTCAGCAATAACTAAAACATCAGTGTGTTATCAGCATTTTTCTCATACTAAATCCACAACACAGCCCTGTACCAGCTACTAAGAAGAAAATTAGCTCTCCCAGACCAGGACAGCTGTGCAGATCAAATCTCCCTGGCATCTTTTGGTCTCTCATTTCACTTTCTGTCCCATTAAGCCATTTCACGGTGTCACACCCCTATCCCACTCACTGGCTCCCATTTTGTCTGTGGCAAAGTTTGCAGGCTGATTTGTGCAGCAGAGTCCTGTTGACTGTCATGGAAAAGCTCCCAAGCCTTTATCCTATAACCAGCTGTGTAGACCTTTACTTCCTAATCGTAGCTGTACAGTTTAGGAATAAATGTACTTGATTGTAATCACAGTCAGCAGTTGTGCCTGAGTTACAGCAAGGGAGGACAGCATGTAACTGGGCTTGCTGTGGACAGAACAGTGCATTGGGAAACAACAGATTCATCTGTTGTCCATCGAGAAACAAAGGCATTCCCATGGGTTGCTCAGTGGTGTGTCTGATGATACCTTTTCTTAGCTGGCATCCACCTATATTTATCATATTTAGTGACATTTGGTTATTTATATATTTTCTTGATGAACTTTCCGTGATGTTAGGGAGGAAAAATAATTTATCTGCTATTTTAGTGTTACATTACTAAAATACACAGCATGAAACAGCTGAGAACTGTAACCTTTGAAAGGGAAAGTCCTGAGCACTCAGTTGAAAATATCGCAGCTAGCTGTCACGTTGGTCTGAGGAAAATACTCTTTCGTTGCAATCTTGCACAGTTGTAGAAGCTTCTCTGACAAAGAATCATGAAAACGGGTAATTTTACTTTGGTCTTCGACTTGATTTGAAAGTTTAAGGCAGGGAGAGTGACTGTTAACCAGTGCGTGACCATTATAAGGTCCGGCGTTGAAAACACTGTACTTGTGACACCCGTGGAGGCACAACGGGCTGTGCAGCCCG